AATTATTTTATTTGTAATGACCATATGCATTCCTTAACTTCCTGGATTTCCATCATGTTCTGTAGGAATGGGTTAGTTTTACTTCTTTCAATAATTCTTTTGGCTAGCCTTTTTCCCCTTTGTCTATCTTCATCTATGTCTGATCGTTTTACACAATATTTCAGATATTTCTTTTGGATCTGTCTGAGCAATTATCATTGTACTCCATCAGGGTTTGTTAATGCTACTTCTATGTTTATCCCTTTCCGGAAGTTTGGGAACTTTTCCTGTATGGCCCTATCTATGCTTCATCGTTGATATGGGGTTTTAATTCCCTGAAGGTCCCTTTTGACCAGAATTTCAATTGGTCTAGTTTTTCCTTAATCCACATCATTTCTGTAACTTAACAGCTATATGTAGTATTACCTACTATTACGTACTATTACCTATATAACTACTATTGCGCAGTATTAACTACATGCTTTCTACAATACCACGATATAGTGCTATCAGTATATACATGCTTGCAGACATCGTTCAACTAATAATTTTGCCTGTCTATATAACCATTTCACTAACCATTCCCACATCCAGCCTTATACTCTAAGAAAGTTGATTTTACCGCTACCAGAGCTGGTCTTAACACAGTTTCCCGTGGATGCCTTTTGGAGGTGGCTAGTAGCAACTGTTCCTTACACTAGATTGTGTTCACCCCTACTAGAGCCAGTCTTACCCTAGTTTCCCCTGGGTGCCTTCTAGAGGTGGCTAATAGCAATCACAACTTGGTGTATTTTCCTTTCCCCTAGGGTAGACCTCTACCAGAGCCAGTCTTAACATGGTTATCCGCAGGTGCCTTTTGGAGGTGATCTTTATTCTCTTGGTTCAGGATTTGTACCCCAAGTTATCTCTTATGTGTAGGCCTTAAGCAATCATAAGCAATCCTGCCAGCTATGTCAATTGTCCAGAGAGACACTATTAGTAATTACTCAGATTAAAGTGTATCTTTGATTACACCAATCATAACACTCAACAGTTAATGCAAAAAGTGTTGAATGTGCTGGAGCAACCCAAATAGCATTTAATGAACACTAATTAAACACTACAAGCAAATCGTACAATCCTGGGTCAACCATTATCCCCAAAATACCTTCCATGCCATGTGACTTCTCTTGGCCAAAGAGCAATATTATTGTGTCCAGTGGTTCTCTGCAGTGATGGCTGGACATCGGGAATCATGGAGTTGATCTGGAGATGGACAGCAAAGCAGCCAGTCTCACTGATGTCCTTGGAGCAGCCTCCTTGATATGGTAGAACAAGCGATTTAAATATGGTGTTTATTGGTGATTGGTCAACAGTGAGAGTCAATGTCCATTGGTCATGTCCAGTGAGATGATGTAATTGCAACAGGACATGTTCTTTGTGCATGTCCATGGAGCTGTGCTACTTATCAATTGTAACCAGTTATTGCTAAGCATGCCTTTGGCCAGTGCCTCTAATAGCTTTCTATTAATTATAATCAGGCATGACTAAGCATGCCTATGGCTGCTATTCCTCATGGCCAACAATTTAATGAGTCCCAGCATGTGCCAGTACATTTATGGCAGATGCTTCTTACATCACCCTTCATCAGTCTTTCCATCTTGGTAAAATAAATCCTCTCAAATTAACTCAAGACATACTTAAAGGAAACAATATTTCAAAGACCATACAATAAATCATCAAAGCCTGAAAGACATGTCAGAGAAATAACCCCCTTAACTCTGCCAAGATGCCCCCAGAATTACAGAAGACAGAATAGTTCCCTGGGGAAGACTGGCAACTTGATTTCACTCACATGCCCAAGAGCAATGGGTTCCAATTGGTTATTGGTTAAGGTAGATACTTTTATGGGATGGACAAAAGTCCTATCCCTCCCAAATTGAACAGGCAGGAGAAGTAGTCAAAGCCTTATTACAGAAATAATTCTCCAATCTGGGCTGTCCCACAGCCTCCAGAGCGACACTGGAGCAACTTTCAAGGTAGCTGTCACTCAAGGAATGTCCAAAGCCCTAGGCATAAAATAACACCTCCATTGAGCATGGAGACCTCAATCCTCAGGAAGAGTAAAAAAGACTAATGACATCCTAAAGAGTCATTTAAGAAAACTCACACAGGAGATTTCTTAAACTACCCATGGCCTAAGGTGTGTCCCTTGGCCCTATTCAGGATCAGGAACACCCACAAAATGTTAGGGCTCAGCCCATTTGAGCTCTTATATGGGAGGCCATTTCTAACAATGATATCCTTAAAGATCAGGAAACTGCAGATCTAGTGGCCCACCTAACCAAATTCCAAACTAAAATCTGTAAATATCATATATCTGAGTCAATCACTTCTCTATATGAGCCTGGAGATGTAGTTATGACCAAGACCATACCTTCAAATTCCCCAAATTTAGACCCTATTTGGAAAGGACCTTTCCCTATAATCTTATCTGCCACCTCTGCAGTAAAAGTTCTGGGTCAGAGGAACTGGATTCTCTACTCTCAGGTTCAAACCTGCCATCCTGAGTCGACTCCCAAAGAGACTTTTCCTTCCCAAGGATCTGAGGAATGACACTTCTGCACACTAGTAGAAGACCTGGAATATCCCTTCCTCAGAGACAATGGTGATATGTAAGCTTTTCTTTCTCTCTTTAGTATAGACAGATCCACTGAGACTAACTCTTTTCTATATTTGGCCCAACAATATGCCACTAGGTCACAGAAAGATAATTGCTGGATATGTGAAATATTACCCTTCTCAAGCACCTCTGGACTGCCTTGGTGGGTATCCCCTTACAATAAAATGACTGCATAAATTTACAATCCTTAATGTTAGAAAAAAGGAAGAAAGATCCTCTTCATAAACTGCTTTTCATGCCGATATTAATTTATGGCCTATAAGTCAAACTTTACCACAACTAGGTCATGAAAAGATTTTTCACCTTAGAACAGACCAATCTTCAGACTTCTGCCACTGGTAAGTCACATATAGGCCCATGCAATTCTCACCTTCCACCATCATCATCACCAACAATTTGTCACAGTGTTGGTTATTTATCTGATTCGGGAGAGATATTTATGGCTTACACCCACCATTGGACATCTAACCAAGAAACCTCAGTCTGTTGGGAACAATGTAACCACACCTATGACAAATGGCCGAACATTACTAGAGAATTAGGATGGACCCCAGAGTCACTATGCCAATAAATTGTGATTTTATAAGCCACTGATTGTTTTGGGACTAATTGACTCTCTAGACCTAAAATTATTTGGCCAGCACCCAAAGGGATTCAATGTCTATGTGGAACTAACTTATGGCCCTGGTTTCTTCCAGGCTGGATAGGAAGTTGTACTATGGGGAACCCCTGGATGCAAGGGAGATGGACCCCAAGTATAGAACAGCCAGCAAATCTCTCCAATCTCAGATATAGATGGGGATGATCTGCTTTTTGTTGGTATGATCATCTAACTTCACTGTTTCTTATTCCACAAATTGATTTAGAAGATGTAATGTGACATGTGGAGACCCTAAGCAATTATACTTAAATTGCTCTCCATGACATTGAGGTGTTTCTCTCCTTAACACAGAAGTAACATACATGAGGAAAGCCATCTTACAAAACCACATGGCAGGTTGCAGAATCACATTGGTCAAACAGTCACGTATATATATACAGCAATAAATGAGAAATTATACCCCATTTGATTCAAATGTATGATATGTCAAGATCATTGTACTGTCATGTGTAACTAATAAAAATAAAATAAAAATAAATTTAAAAACCTCATGGCTTGAGATGTCCTCACAGCCCAAAGAGGTACTTGAGCCATTATTAGAACTGAATGCTGAGGGGAGGGGGAATAGTAGAGGATAGGAAAGGCAGCAGAATACAACAGACACTAGTATGGCAGTATGTAAAAATGTGGATGTGTAACTGATGTGATTCTGTGATCTGTATACGGGGGAAAAATGGGAGTTCATAACACACTTGAATCAAATGTATGAAATATGATATGTCAAGAGCTTTGTAATGTTTTGAACAACTAATTAAAAAAAAAAAAAAGAACTGAATGCTGTGTTCACATACCCGACAACTCTGGCAATGTGACTGATATCCTTAAAGATTTACATACTCAAATATAGGCCATGTCCTCACCAGCCTTATCATGGGAACAAAGTCTTAATTCCTGGTTCTCTGGTACCTCCTGGTGGAAAACATTGTTCGTTTCTGTTGTCATAATCATACTTGTTGGCATGTTCCTATGCTGTGACATTTATTATTGTATTAATCTTCTTCTAGTACTGATAACTTCTTGTATCTCTTGTAGACCACCCATCTCTCAAAAGGCCCTCCAGCCTATTGTTTCTGAACCAGACTTTTACCACAGACCTCTCCATTGGCTAGCTCAATTTTAAAAAGGGACCTCCAAACTGCTTGCCCCCACACCACCCACTTCCAGCTCCAGGCAGCCAGGGCAGTCATTGTCCACTTTCCTTACAGTAGTAAGGAGTTCCTAGATTTGCAGGGGAAAATGAAGCCAAACTGAAAAAAAGGTATTTAGCAAAGATAGATAAATTGGGCCAGATTGAAAAACAGACCAAACCAGTTTGGGTCTGAAAGGTTGGAGATTGCAGCCAAGACAGATTGAAATGTTAATGTCCCCAAGAAGCCCAGTCTATACACTTTCCTAAACAATTGTTAATGAACCCACTCCTGAGCACACAGGGAACTGCTAATTAAATTCACTCTGGGAACCTCTTCCTGCAATGATCACTCCACCCTGGCCCCTCCAGCCCACCTGTTTCCCACCTTTGGGGTTTCCCACTAGCATCTCCCTATCAGATATATGGCCATGAGGGGAAATAAACAAGTTAAGGGGGAAGAACAACAACAACAAAGAAAACTTTAGATGTATCAAAGAGATAGGACTTCCTCATTGCAGGGATTCTGCCTTTCAGATCCTCTTCTTTCTCTGGGGAAAATTCTGTTCTCCTATCTTTAAATAAAACTTCTTACTTTCTATTCTATGCTTGCCTCAGTGTGCTTCTTTGGTGTTGGACTTCAACATTTGAGGAAGCTGGACTTGTCAAGGTAACTGGTAACTGGCAGTATCAGGAGGTAGGACTACACCTTACTGCAGACACTGAAGGGACAGAACCATGTCCTTAAGCCAGGCAAGGGCCATTCTGAGAAGCTCTGATACTGAGGAAATAAGGAAGAAACAAAGTACAGCTCAACAAGGAAAGTTCATGAGTTGGGAGCAAGATTGGGTGATTCACTTCAAGGACCTACCTGGCAGCTCCTCCTCTTCCTTGATTTACATATAAGAAGTATGCTGGACACCAGGATCACCACTCCTCTGGGAAGTCACTTTCTGCCTCCTTCAGCATGAGCTCTCTCCAGCTGCCACTCAGGGCTGGCCCTGCAGCCCTGCTCCTGGTCCTATGCCTGCAACTGGGACTCAACAAAGCTCTGGAAAACCCGTGAGCCAAGCCCTTCCTTCCACAGAGAAACCTTAGGGAGGGCTTCTTTCCTAATCAGGAAATCTTTACATCCCTTCCTATAGATTTTTAAAACTTCCTGGGAAGTCCCAAAGAACTAAGTAAATTCTAATTGCTGGACCCTATCCAGAACAAAGAAGGAGGATCTTTCAGGACAGTCATAAAAAGCCAGTGCATGGAGATGTTTGCTGGAGTGATGTGATTCTGTGGCTATGCTGTCTTCTCCTAAGGGTGACTCCCCTCTCCCATCCCACAGCAGATAAGCAGCAGAACTTGTAGGGTGTTATTAGTAAATGACGTGTGGAATTATACTTGAATCTTCATTTTTTTCCCTTTTTGTAAACTTGTTCTTTTTTGTCAATGGAAATAAAATGGAAAATGATCTATTTTAAGTAGAATTCAGTTGCTTCTTAAAATAAAACTAAGTCCATACACAATATCCAAACCCACCCACAGGCAAAAATTCCTGGGGCTCTAATGCTAAGCAGTTCATCCAACCCCACAATGTTCTGGCCCTCTGGTTGGTCCCAGTCCTCTTGCCAATCCCATGAACTAGTCTCTGAGTTCTTTTGTTTTACTCTTCCCAGACCTAGGCGGGAAGCACCAACAGCAAGGCCAAATGAAGAAGTCATATGAGACTTGAACTTCAAACACAATTGAGAAAATGCTTGGTGGTAAGTACAGGCCTAAGGAAGGACCTCCAGACAAATTTTACTCCTTATTAGGAACAAATTGAATTGTTCTCTCTTAACTTTTGTGTTGCATGATATACTTAATTTCCTCATACGTTTTGCTACTTGAGACTCAGAACAATTGTCGGAGCATGGGGCAGGTGACCATTCTCATTTTAGACATGAGGAACTCTGATTCCAAGAGATTTACAGACAATGAGAAAGGAGGGTAAGGAGTAAGGAAAAAAAGAAAAAAGAAGTGAGAAATTAGGAAAATAAAAATAAATAAATAAACAAAGCCTAAGAGCTGCTGGAGAACCAGTCACAGTTCCTCCAAGGCCCTGAGCATTCCTGGTCTGGGATGGAAGCCTGGACAGAGGGTTCTTGGTAGGACTGATTGCAACCCCATGCAGTAGGTTGAGGCATGGAACAGAAGGACTTGCAGAGCATGGTGCCTCATCTCCTGTAAGCCCTGAGCCAAGTCTGCCTTTCGCTCCCCCTTCCTCTGCTCTTTTGCTTCAAGTCACCAAAAGTTGGCTCTTGTTCTGGCCCCACCCTCCACTCCACAGATTGTCCTCTTTTTCCCAGTTCAGCATTTCTTGGAGAGAAGTCTAATTTGTAGATTAGACTGCAGTAGAACAGAATTCTCGAATCATGATGAGCCTAAAACTCACCTGGCCATCCTGTCAAAGGACAGATCCTGATTCCAAGGTGTAGAGAGAAGCTGGAACTTCTAGATGTCTCAGGAACTCCAGAGCATGCAGAAGCTGTATTCCAAGGACAGTACTTTGAGCAACCTGGGGTTAGAGCACTATATCACTCTGTATTTCCCTACAACATGAGTTTCCTGATTTGAGTGAGATTTCAGGACAGTGATTAAATAGGACACAAAATTGGGAGCATGAGGATAGCTATTCATTTAAATATATTCTGGAAATATCTCTATTCTAGTAAAAGAGTCTTGATAAGAAGGTGCAGAACGTTCCAACTACTGTGTCAAATTTTTCTATTTGAATTCCGAGAATCTGAGCTCTGTATGCTAAATTGGGTGGGAGGGAGGCCGAATCATAGTTTTCAGTTTTGTGATTTGTTTAATAAAAACTGAAAATGAGAAAGGGTAAAATGCATACAAAATATATGCATAAAATTTTTGTGATAATGGTAGTTTCTGGTGGTGATAGTCTGTTTCTACCCCTAAAGAAGTGATAGGTGTAATAATATGTGTTTAAATTAATAAAATGACATATAATGTTATGATCAGTAAAATTCTGGTTTTAATCATCTTGTTAGTACAATAAGAGATCGAGTTTTAAAAACCCACCCAAGTGCAAAGAACAAAGAACTCCTGAGAATGAGTAATTGTGCAAAGAGGAAATATCTCAAGTCAAAGGAAATGGTATTAGTTTTAGTGAACCAATTTTATTTGTAGCTTTCTATCAAAAAAGAATATAACAACAAAAACATCTCTATATTTTTATTCTCTTAGAAAAATATAATTTGTTTTTATACATTTGAAATACCACCTAATTTTCAATCAATTATAATACTTCTACAACTGAATTTTTGATAAATTGAGGTGTTAGTCTAACTTTTGTTTATTTTAAAATCAAAGCAGAAAAGATTGTTCTTATAATTATATATGTGAATATAAAGACCATATAAGACTTTAAGGCTAAAGAGCACTTGTGGTTAACAAAGGTACTTAAGCATTTTTGTGTTATGGACCATTTTACTGGTCTCATAAAATGTATAAAATATTTCAGAAAATTGCTTTTAAATGCATAAAGTGCATTTAAAATATAGAATTACAACAATAGAAGTTCTGATACAGTGATTTATGTGTTTACCAATACATTAGCTGGAAAAAATACATTTAGAATATAAATAATATCAGATTTCATTTTATGAAGTCATTGTCTATGATGGTTGTGGTTGCTCAGATTGAAAAAGGAAGTCCACTAAACTGTGCTGCTCTTTTACAACATGTCATTTATTCATACTATGCTGGAACTCCACTGGATTCTGATTTTTTTTTGCTACAGTTAATCAAGTGTTGAAATTTTCATTTATGAAGATATTTTATTGCCAATGTGATGAAAAAAGTAAACAAGACAAGTATAGGATTTTCTAAACACCAGAACATCCTTCCCTCGTTGGTGTTCTCAGCAGCATTCAAATGAGGAGAATATGGAGGATTATTCAAGGTAGAGTTTCCAGGTATCTGAGCAAGCTTCAGGGCTGGGCAGGCTACAGGTACTTCAGCCATGCTGGTGCAGCCATTTTGATGGCCACCATTTATTCAAGGGAGTGCAGGCCATGTTCAAGGTATTTGAATATATAAACAGCATTTTGTTGTTCCTGGTGGAAAAGCTGCATATGCACTGAAGCAACCATGTATCATTAATGATTTTCATAACTGAAGGAATGCTAAAGTTCAGTTAAATCTTGGTGAAGATACAATGTTTTTCCATCTGAGTTCACAAACTCAGTGTACTCCATCCACAGATCCCTCTGTTTGGATGGATCTTGGGATATAAATGCTAACTAGACAACTGAAATAGACAGAAGCAATAATTGCAGATACTAAAGTCCTGCATGTGGCGTGTAAGTGACACCCCAAAGCTACGAAGATCCATAAGATATTTCATGCTTCATGGATCTAAGTCAATGTCAGTTTTCCTGTTTGACTTGAACACAAAATTCACCTGTTCCTAAGTCAACATTTTATTTACCAAATAGTCTCTGAATACCAGATATATATATATACTCAGTCTGTGTCCTATGATTTTCCAAGCAGATCACAAAATCTACATATATAAGATATTAGACTATGTCCAGCCCAATATTAACCATAATATATGGAGGTATTGGAAAATAATGATAATCCATTCATATGTTTTTCAACAATTGCAATATTCTGAGATTCTTCATTCATAGAGAATTAAGATAAATTCAGAATACCAGTAATTTTACATAATTTGAGGTTGACCCCTTCAGCCAGTCCTACATGTTAATATAATTTTCATTAACCATCTGTTAAAATGACAGATTTCTGACACTTTTCTTTAGTTTTTTTGTAAGTATATATAATCTTGGATGTGAAGCCATTCCTCTAGTCTTATTGCTTTTTTTAAAAGCAGTGATTATTATATATCATCAATTAATTGGAGTAATTAATTCTAGACTCAGAATCCTAAATATGGCTAGAGAATGCATGCTTTTTAGCAAAGTAACATGTTTTAGTCCACTCTGCACTATATCAAGATCATACTGATTTTGTTATTAGTGGCTTAAAGTTATACATAATATCGAAGTTAATTTTACATAATCATACATATATGAAATAAAATTTGCTTAAATTCAGTCTTTAGTACATCTCTTTACCTTCCCTCCTTCTTTCTCCTGTTTTCATTCCTCTACACTAGGGGTCTTCCTTCAATTTATTCATAGTTTTTCTTAATGAGTGCATCATAGATATGCATATAGATGAAATTCACTGTGATATATTCATTTATGTATATAAGACAGTTTGGTCCATTTTATTTCACCATTCCTCCTTGTTCCATTCTGTCCTTCTTCCCTCTCTAACCCCTTCCTCTAATCCACTGATCTCTCTTTTATTTATCATGGGATTACCCACACACACACACTTTTTCCCTCTTGTTTTCTTCTTGTTTCCACTCACTTCCTGAGTCTGGTTTATTTTATTTAGCATGTTATTTTTCAGTTCCTTCCATTTACCAGAAATTGAAATACTTTCTTTCTTCTTTATGGGTGAATAAAACTCCATTCCTTCCAATTTAACCCCTATTTATCATATGAAGTTTATTACCTTACGCAAAACTCATCTCAGAATGAATCAAAGACCTAGGATTTATACCAGAAACTCTGTACCTGCTAGAAGAAAATGTAAGCCTAACACTCCAACATGTTGGCTTAGGAACCACCTTTATTAACCTAAAGCACAATAAGTAAAATCAAAATCAACAAATGGGATGGAGTCAAATGAAAAAATTTCTTCACAGCAAGATAAACAATAAGAATGAAGAAACAGCCTACAGAATGGGAGAAAATCTTTGCCATCTGCACCTTATATAGAGTATTAATTTTCCAGGATATACAGAGAACTCAAAAAAGCTTAACAGCAAAAGAGTAAATAACCCAATTAATAAATGAGAAAAAGAACCAAACAGACATTACTCAAAGGAATGCATAAATGAAAAAAAAGTCTGACATCTCTAGCAATTAGAAAAATGCAAATTAAAACTACACTGAGATGTCATCTCACTCTATTCCAAAAGGCAATTATAAAAAATACAAGTAACAATAAATGATGGTAAGGATGTGGGGGAAAAGTATTCTTATTCATTGGTGGTGTGACTGCAAACTGATGCAAACACTGGAAAGCAGTATGGTGATTACTTAAAAAACTAAGGATTGGAACCACATTTGACCCAGCTACCCCACTCCTTGGTATACATCCAAAAGATTAAAAATCAGCATATGGCAGTGATGCAGGGACATCAATGTTTTAAGCAGCACAATTCACATTAGCTAAGCTGTGGAGGCAACCTAGGTGACCCTGATTGGGTAGATGGATAAAGAAAAAGTGGTGTGTATATACACAATGGATTATTACTCAGCTATTATGAATACTGACTTTAAGTCCATTTTCCAGTAAATGGATGGAACCAGAGACTATCATGCTAAGTGAAATAAGTCACTTGCAAAAAGTCAAATGTTGAGATATGTGGAGGCTAACTCAAATAAACGGAGGCAGAGAATAGAAATTCAGTAGATAAGTCAAAGGGGAATTAAGGGATGGGAGTGGGAATAGGAAAAGTAATGACAGTGAAATGAATTGATATAATATTCCTATGTACACGTATAAAAATATCACAGTGAATCCCACCATCATGTACATCAACAAGAATGGGGTCCTAATTAGAATAAGATATATTTCATTCTTGTATAATTATATCAAAATGTATTCTACTTTAATG